TGGCAATAGCAAACAGATCAGATGCTAGAGTAGCTGCCAATGAAATCATGTCACACCAGGTACTGACAGTGTGGCTATGGAGTAATATGTAATCATTTGTATCTGTGTGATGTGTATTCATCTGTGTGATGTGTATTCATCTGTGATCATTCAATTTGGGGTTAAATGGGATGCTGTCACATCAACAGTAAATATGACAAGTATGAAAGTATGCACATTGTCTAAATGAATTTTGTATAATTTAAGTTCATTTATTTCTTGTATGTTGTTTTGAACATCATGTTTGGATTCCTATTTCTAGATCCCTGTTGCGCCTTCTTCAATAGGGATCCCATGGGTCATATTTGGCTCAGTTGGAGATTACTCAGATAGTCTAACTCTGCCCACTTCTCCAGCCCAGAAATCCCATGGCCCTATCCTGTAGCTTCAACTGTATCTTCTTGCTAGAGCTGCCACCTGTTCTTTGGCCTATTCTAGCCAGGGTCACTTCTTGAAAATTGACCTAGTGACCCTGCTCAGGCTAAGTGAAGCACTAGCCCTGGCAAAACCTGGGAGAACAAGGTGATGAAGTTGGACTACAGGATTTTTGCATGGTGTGAAGCAGACTTCCCTGGGGACAGTAGGATTTGGGATGAGGAAAGCATATTGAAGCCCTCTGGGAAGCCTTTGTCAAATGGAAAAGTGAAATGAGAGCCCAAGTATAAAGGGCACTCATTAAAGTTCCACAAAGTGATTGGTTTATAGAACAGAAGTTTTGTTGTTTTGTTTTGTTTTGTTTTTAACAGTTCTGGAAGCTAGAAGTATAACATTCAGGCACTATTGGTTCCTTTGTGAAAGAATGTGTCCCTGGCTCGTGATGGCTTTCTGGTAGTCACTGGCTTTCCTTAAGTAATATATATTCCATCCTGATCTTTTGCCTTCATATTCACATGGCATTCTTCCTATGAGACTATTTACCACCTTGCCCAAATTTCCTCTTTTTATGAGGACACTGGTCCTATTAAAAATTGGGCCCACTCTAATGAGTTCATTTTTGCTTCAGTACCTCTGTCAAGAATTTATGTCTAAAGTTACTCTTGGAGATATATAGCATTAGGACTGTCATGTGTTTTCCTTTGAAAGACACAATTCAATTTAGAGCAATGCCTCTTCCACAGTTACCATAGTATTAATCGACCTAATAATAATGGTCTGTTTGATTGCCTGCCTATCTCATTGGGCTGTGAGCTCCAAGAGAGCAGAGATTGTGATTTATGAATCTAGTACTTGAATCAAAATCAAGAGCATAGTAGGCATGCAGTACATATGTGTCACAGCATAAGTGTCTCTTCCTTCTTGAGAGGCCAGTCTTTTCATATTGTTCTGCTCGTTGCACTTTCCTGCCTTGGTAGGGACCTTTAGTCTCTAGCAAGTATGCAAACATTTGGTATCATTTTATACTACAAAATTAACAGCTTCCCTTCAGTTTCCTGTTCCAGCTCTGACTATATCTATTCCTTTTCACAGCTGGACTCCTGCAAAGAATTATCTGTACATGATGCATTTGTTCCTTGATCTTTTACTGATTCTTTTTCTCACTTCGGCATGACTTCCACACACATCAGTCTACCTAAAATGCCTTCACTGAGTTCATCAATGTCATCTGGTTTATCAGATAATGGGCTTTTCTCTGCCCACGCCCACCCGCCCTCAGCTTTCTCCTTCCTTCAACATTGTATACCAGACTTTCCGTGTTCAAAAATTGTCTTTTACCTACTTGCCTTATTTTTCCTCTTAACTTTCTATCTTGTTCTCATTTGCTAGTTATTTTAATGCATATGTCCAAGTAAGGGAGCTTCCAGGACCCTAATATGGGTTGTGTTTACCCTCTAAACTGTTTATTTTTTAAGTAATTTGTTCCTTATTGCTGAGGTATAATCTTTATATATATATGTATATATATTATTGTAAAGATACTGTACAGAAGGGTTACAGTTACATGAGTCCATTTCCTATTGAGCACTGTTACACCCTCCTTTATATTTCCTTACCATCCCTTTTTTCCCACCTCCCCAACTCCCCCCTCCCCTCTCCACCCCTCCCCACAAAGTTGTAAAGTTCCTTTTCAACATACTGTCTTGTACAACTCATTGTTACAATGGGTTATCCTGTATCCTGTATTTCCCTTCCCCTCCACAATTAGAAAAACATATATACAAGATGCAGGACACCAGAATCAAATACAATGACAACAGGGGTTGTACCATGGGGGAAGAACATACAAAAGAAACAAAAAAAATCACATAGTATAAAGAAGAACAGCAACAAAGATAAAAAAATCTCTTGCTTCTCTTCAGATAGTATAAATCTTTTGCCTTTTACTAAACTGTTTCTTTGTATGATTTCACCCACTTTTGAGCTTTTCAATACCATATACATGCTGATGGCTTCTAAATTTATATTTTGCATTTATACATATTTTTATATTTATATGTATATTATATGCATATGTACACACGTTTATGCATATGTGTATGCATATGTGTGTATATGTATATGTATATATGGTGCTCGGGTTCAAACTCATGGCCTTACACATGCTAGCCAAGTGCTCTACCACTGAGCTACATCCTCAGCCAGACCATTATATGCTTTTTATTAGTGTAAAAATTAACAGCTACCATTATGACACTTTTGCACATTTATATTATGTACTTTGATTACATTCATCATCTATTGGCCTCTTGTGTCTTATTTCACATTCCTCTTTACAAATAGGCACATTTCTACTTCTATGGCTTTTTTTATAACTGTCAACTCAACATATTGGAGAAAAGATGTGATATTAGTCTTTCTAGACCTTACATATTTCACTTAAAATGATGATCTTCAGCTTCCTTTCTTCATTTCCCTGGGAACAATGTAATTTTTTCTTCTTATGTTTGAATAATATCTATTGTGCATAAATACCACCTTTTCTTTATCCATTCACCAACTGATGGGTACCTACAATGATTCCATAACTGTTTATTCTGAACAGTAGAACCATAGACATAGGCTGAACTGGAGACCTTTGGATATATGTCAAGTAAATCTTCCAGAAGGAGATGATGATGGATCTAAGCATGAAAAAGATGATGGTGTAGTAGCTAGTTGCCATATAAAGACAAACAAACTTTTCCAGGGAAAGGTCATGAGTCAGGATGCATAGGTATGAGAACATGAGATAGAGCCTAGTGAGAGACTAGATTGGAGAAGAAAGAACCTTGTTATTAATGGCTACAAGTCCATACTGATGTCATAGATTTTTGAACTATGAAGTATGAGTACCCAATATCTACTGTGTGCTGGATGGTATACTGAGTTCTTGAGAATACAACTAGAAATGACTTCCTGACTCGACATATCGACTTCCCATCTCATGGGAAGATAGGACCCTATGCGTAAGAAGTACAGAGCAGTTGCCACATGTCAACTGAAGAAGAAAAAGAAACTTTATCTCAAGGGAAGAATAACATGAGCTGCACAGTTGGGGAGGATTCCAGGAGAAGGTAAATCATAAGTTGTAGGTGGTGAAGTAAGTTAAACAAGGGACATTCTAAGTGTATCTGCTTGTTTTTCTAGCCCACAGAAGTTCAGCTAGGCCTTTCCTTTAAATAGGTTCACATTATTAATTTCCTTTCAAATCAAGTTAAATAGCATTGGGGCTTTACCTGTATAGATTCTCTTTATGGGTAGTTCTTTCAAGATGTACTTACTCTATAAAGAAAATGAAAAACATAAATTTGAGCAACTTGAATACCAAGGCCATTATAACACCATCAAGATTGACAACTAATGGCGTTTTTCATTATTCTTGATTGTGCTATTCTTAGGACCTTGAACAATGCATGGATAATACTAGGCTCTCAATGAATAATTTTGCATGTATCCATTCTCTCACTTTTCAGAGTAGCATCTTTTTGTTTTCCCACGCTCATGGAAGGTGGCTTTAATATGCCAAGCATTAATGTTGGGTAGCTGGTAACACAGTTACGAAAATAAGAGGTAGAATCATAAGTGAGGCCACAAGATAAACTCCAATGCACAGGCAAAGAAGCATATGGAAGGATAATAGAAAATAATGAAAATAGAGTAGGCAGCTTTAAATGCTAGAGAAAACTCAGAAAAAAATGCTTGAGGCAACCCACATTTGTAATAAATTGCTGTGAGTGCTTCATGCACATTTCTTTAAAAGTAGTCTACTAGTGGTTTTCCATATGTTCTGCTAGACTCTATCTTTGTCTTCATAATTTCAAGCCAGGTAGAGGTACAATATTATTATAAAACATTTTATACAGTCTGCTTTCCAGCCAGAACTCTAATAATGGTGTTGAAGAAACTGAACATATCTTCTTCACTTACAGAGCTTCCCTCTTCTTACAGGGGCAACACAGTTAGCATTTCTCCTCCAACCCTATACACTTAGTTCCCCCACTTGTTTAACTGACATTTTCAACATAACTCTTTGATATGTATCCATGCTTGTGTGTGTATCATATGCTGCTTTGTGTTGTAGTTTCTTTTCAAAATCAGTCTACTCTTCTTAACCAAATAAAAACTAGAACTGGACTTTATAATTTTATTAATGTTTACTGCATTATTATTACCACACAAATGTGATTCTATGTGATATTTCAATATGGAAATTGAACACAACAACAATCTATCTGACAATTCTTCCTTCCAGAATGGAGGTTTTGGAGGGTGCATGCAACAATGATATATTATATATCCTAGAAGGTTTGCATCCCATCTTGGAATCTAAATATGCTTCCAGAAAACTAGACCATTTCGGAGACTGAGCCCACTCTTTATCCAAATTGTAACACTTGAAGATTAGTCAATATCTGTGATTGTGAAATTTATAATCTACCATAGGCCTTTCTAATCTAATTGGGAATTCCTTGAGGGTGGAAAGAGTGTTTTGACTTCAAGCTTCCATGGTTGTTGTTGGCTGGATAAAGCTATTGATTAAAATATCAAATCTTCAATTTATTCAGAGCCTCTTTGATATCATTGTTTTTGAGGCTGTAGATAAAAGGATTACACATAGGAGTTACAACTGTATAGAACAAAGAGAAAGCCTTATTGAGTGATGACCCCTGGCCAGCCAAGGGTACAGCATAGACTAAGATTAAGGTCCCATAAAACAAAGTCACAACTACTAGATGAGAGGAGCAAGTAGAGAATGCTTTCTGCCTACCTTGCGTGGAAGATATATGCAAGACTACAGAAAGAATCTGCCAGTAGGAGGCTAGAGTTAACCCAAAGGGAGCTAGGGTTACCAAGGCTGTTAGACTCATGCAGACCAGGTTGACCACATGGGGATCAGAGCAGGAGAGCTTCTGTAGAGGTTTCAAATCACAAAAGAAATGGTCAATCTCATTGCCACCACAAAAGTTCAAGCTGGATACCATAGCAGCCTGGAATGCAGCTGCCACTGTGAATCCACTAAACCATGAGCCAATGGCTAGGCCCACACACAGGGTTCGATGCATTAATGTTGCATATTGCAAGGGCCTGCAGACTGCCAAGTACCGGTCATATGACATCACAGCCAGTAGATAACACTCAGCGCTGCCCAATGCCCCAAAGAAATAGAGTTGAATAATACAACCTACCATGGATATCACTCTTTTTTCCCTCAACAAGTCCACCAACATTCTGGGTACAATGTTGGATGTATAACAGACCTCCAGGCATGAAAGATTTGCCAGAAAAAAGTACATTGGCATCTGGAGTCTTCTTTGAGTGCACACTAGCACCACCAAGAGAATATTTCCAGAAACGGTGACCATATAGACAATACCAAATACCAGGAAGAGCAAAGGACTCAACTCCTTGAGGTCTCCAAACCCTAGTATGATGAACTCAGTTACCATCATAGTAGTGTTTCTTAGTCCTTCTGAAGGCAAAATCTCCTGAGAAAGTCTTAGCTTTTCCATATCAAGGTATCAATTACTCTACCACTTAGATGTTCCACAGTCCAGTTTTGTTGGTGAGCATGGTATTTCTTGGGTATCAGTTCTTATGAGAAGCAGTTCAATTTCTTTTCAGAAAACTGTTTCTAGGAACCAGGTGAATGTGTCATCTGACCAAGGTGTAAAATGAGGATGAGGAGACTTAATAGGAGAAGAAATAGCTAAGAGAAAATCTAGCTTAATTTTTTAAGGGAACAATCATACTTCTAGTAAGTTGACACTTCATGGTTCATTTTCAGAGATGGATGGGGTCCATGTTTGGAATCTGTTGTGTGACTGAAAAAGAAGAAATTCTTTAGGAAAATCTTTATTAAATGTTGACAACTCCAAGAAATGTCCAGATAGCAAATTGTACTTAGGGCTTTCTTGAACAGAACATGAAGTGAAGGTTGAAATATGACAGAATTGAAGCAGAGAATTCTTCCATTGAGGTAACAGGACCATCTATGTTTGTTGGGTAGCTACATCCTTGAGGTAGCATAGCCACAGTTTCTGGAAAAAGCAAGTTGCAGGAAACCAGATATCCATTCTAAAAATTGATAAATTTCTTATTTTAGCATGTTGTCCTCAAAAAGGCTGGAATTTATGCTTGCAAAAATGTTTCAGCTGACATCTGAAACTACAGGTTAAATTCATGTTACATACACCTAAACTAACACAGACACATATGTATACACATTTAAAGGTATTCACACATATAAAGAGAAAAGGAACATTGTTTTTTTCAAAGTTAGTCTTGTACTATGGGACTTCGCAAGCAATTAGACATGCTGGCCTTAGAGGGTTATTGGCCAAATATGCATATGCCTCTGAAGCAGTGGGAAAGAAACTAGTATGTTTGTTCAGTCAGTTGTGTCATCATTGGTCTGTTTGAAGAACTTTCCAATTATTGGCTGTGTGACACTGTCAAGTTACTTCACTGAGACTTCATTTTCTTATTTGAAAAACAAGGATAAGAATGTTTCCTCCCAGAGCTGTGTTTTGTAAACCAATTTGAACAGTGTTTGGACACATAATAAGCTAAATAAACATTGAAGATTTTTCATTTACTAAATAATTTTTTTTGCCTTTACTAGGGTTTGAGCTCAAGGCCTTGTGCTTGCTAGACAGGTTTTCTACCACTTGAGGTATGCCTCTAGTTATTTCTCTTTTTGTTATTTTTTTAATTAAGTTTTTTATTGTGAAAATACTGTACAAAGGGGTTACAGTTACATGAGCAAGGTAATGAGTACATTTCTTGGACCTGGCAGGCCTAGACCATGATTCTCCTATTTATATATACCATACAGCTGTGATGACATGCATACATGATCACACCCAGTGTTTTTATTGGTGGAAATAGGATTTTACAATTTTTTACCCACAGGCTAACTTGGAGTCATGATCTCCCAATCTCTACAACCTGAGTAGTTAGTGTTACAGGCATACACCAGTATGAGTGGCTACAAACATCCTCACAGAAGCACCAACCAACATTACTAATAGCTATTCTGGAATAAGATAAAGTAATATAAACACACAAAAGGAAAATTGTATATTTCCCATGATTTCTTTTTTCTTGGGGAGGGGAGGGTCCGGTCACGGGGCCTAAACTCTGGGCCTGAGCGCTGTCCCTCAGCTCTTCAGCTCAAGGCTAGCGCTCTACCACTTGAGTCACAGCGCCACTTCCGGGTTTTTTCTTTTTGCTTATGTGGTGCTGAGGAATCAAACCCAGGGCCTCATGCATACAAGGCAAGCGCTCTACCACTGAGCCACCTTTCTAGCCCTCCCATGATTCCTTAACTGTTAATGATCACCACTTAGTTCTAACACTTAATCTATAGAGTTATGTAAAGATTAGATGAGATCACCTTCAATAAATCATGGTTAGTCACACGACAAAGATGAATTGGCCTGAAGCCATCAAGTGATCTTGTAGCAGAGTCAAGCTTCACAGTTTCTATGTGGCTTTTCCAGGTGTGATCTTTCTACCCCACAAACTGATATATGGCCTGCTATTATTTACATTTACAGGTGCGGGCCCTTCCTTCTCTTTGTGCAAACATTTAAAAGTATGTCCAAAAGGGTTAAAAGCAGACTTTCCACCATGATCTTGTACTTTTAGCTAGCCTTCTCCCTACATATTCATTTTGTACCAGTTCCCCACACACAGGCAGTGGGCAGCCACACTGCTCTCTTTGTTCTGTTTGGTTCCTATTCCTCTCCAGATCCTGACCCTTGTTTCGACCTCTTTTTTGAGGAGGAACTTGATGTTATTATTGGATGTTCTCAGCACAAGCTCCCGCCTCCTTCTCAAGAGCCTTGGCTGAGACTTGTTCTCCTTGGTTTTCCAATACTGAGGCCACCATTAACTGTTTCCTTTAAAAATGAATCCCCACTTTCACTATGCTACTATTTTCTTTCTTTCTTGTTTCATTTTTATTTGTAGTACCTATATCCTACAACATATAGTGCATTATTTTTAGTTCTGCCTAATACCTGTGTCTTTTTAATGAAGGATCCCTGAGACAGGGTTGTACTCTGCTTTATTCACTACTGCATCTTCAGCTCCTAGAACATTGCTTGGCATAGAGGAAGCACAATAAATATTTACTGAGTGACTTTGTGAGGCAGTATGATAGAGCGAACAGTTCTTTGTCTCTGGAGCCAAACAGAACCACATTCAAATCATAGATTTGCCACTTACCTGATGGCTACCCTCTGCCCTTTGAGTAGCCTGTGTTTTTTCTTGAATGCAAAGTAACAGCCTTGACAGAGCTTACTTAAGTGTCCCTGACTGTCTGTTCTATTCTTCTGGATCAAGAATTGGCAAACTTTTTCTTAAAGGAGTAATATTTTTGTTTTGTGGGCCATCCACTCTTTGTTATAAGTATTCAAAAATGTCACTTCATTGAGAATGCACTAAAAGAAATACACAAATGAAAGCAGCTATGTTCAATTAAAATCTCACTTTCCAAAAATATATCTTTTGTGCCTTAGCTTTTTTTTTTGTTTTAGTGCCAGTCCTGGTGCTTGAACTCAAGACCTGAGCGCTGTCACTGAGCTTTTTTGCTCAAGGCTAATGCTCTATAATTTAAGCCATGGCTCCATTTTTGTCCTTTTGCTGGTTAATTGGAGTTAAGAGTGTTATAGATTTCCCTGCCAAGGCTGTATTTGACCCACAATCCTCAGATCTCAGCCTCCTTAGTAGTTAGCTAGGTGTGAACTTGCTAGGTAGTAAGTAGCTAGGTATGAGCCATGGATACCCAGTGAGTTTGCCAATGTGTGTACCTGGATGCCTGACTGCTTATCTGAAGTTTATTTTGCTTTTGCAGTTGAGCTAATAAAGTATGAGCAGAATGAGATGTATAGTTACATACTTTTCATTGGCATTTTTAGACTATGCCCTTAAAAGAAAAGCAGATCATCACATTTCCTTTTACGTCCTTCCCATTGCATAGAACACTAACTTGACAGCCAAATCAGGAGTTCTTTGCTGGATATAAACATAACACACATATTTATATTTTGTATAATTTACGGAGTTTTTTAGTCTTGTTACAACAACCTAGTCTTATTGTAACTAACAAATGATTACCAGTCGCTCTAAGACTACTGTAATAAGTCAATGTAACATATTTAGCATAGTAGTGGACACAGTGTAAATGATAGCTTTCACTAGGATTTCTGTGATAAAGAGAGTTCATCCTTCTTTCTTCCACTGGTATCTGAATACACTCATGTCATGCATAATGACACTTCCACTAATTATGGGACAATATGTGTGATGATGATGCCATACGCTTATAGACTGAGTTGGCAGCATATATCAAAATGTGATAGTGCTCAGTTGGAAGCCATTGCAGATGGTAAAAGGATGCTACAAGAGCTTAATTTTAAACTGTCAACATTTACAAGGTACAGAAAGTATAGCCTGTTTATATCTATTGGAACTTCCGATCAAAAATGTACAGATGTCAGTTTTAAAATGCACAAGAGGACAGAGTACAAAGTTTAAAGAGCTAAGTTACTGCTGAATCCTCTGTGTGCTTTCTTGCTTGGTGAAAATACAGAAAGAGGAAAAAAACAGTCACATAGAGATGTGATTAAAATGCAGCAGCAAGTCCTACTGCACAAGACCGGTTTTCTCCAGTCCCCACTCATCCTGCCAGCTAGCTTCCAAGTGGGTTTTTTTCCCTCTGTTCAAGAAGTTCTTCATGCTCCCTGAGCCTTCCTTTCAAACCAATACCTATTTTTCCCCTTTCATCAAATAATGACTCTCTTAGTCATCACTGCAAGTCTCCTGGACTCTTACAACCTGCTTATGACTCAACCTGCTTTTAGCAAGTGGGCCTCCAGATACAATCCACAATTATCGGGTGGAACTTTGAAAAACATTATTAAAAAGAAAAGAAGTTTTAAAACAGAACTATAGAATGGCCCTCACATATACTCAGCCTATGCCAATGGAAAATGTGTCTCTCTTCTCCATTCCAGGAGAACTATGTGTGTGTGGAGGGGAGGGGAGGCTTGGACATGTCAGTCAAGTAAATTAATTCAGTTGTTTTTAATTCAGGAAACAGCAAAATCTGCTGCTTTTTATAATGGCTATCTTTATTGTTTTAGGCAATAAATACTATAGAATCAATGTGTATTCACAGGCCCATAAATGTAATTTAAGATGCATACCCAAACAAAAGTCCATGGACATAGCAGATGTGGTGCTGGAGCTGTGAGAAGGAAGGAAAGTGTACCTGATGTCATCTACCATCTGAGATTCACATTGAGACCAGAGAACACAGCCTTAAAATACAAATAATAGTCAGAAAAATGGTTCACTTTCATCCAGACAGTTTCACAGAGCACACAATTGCACTGGACTGTGGCCTGGTTAATATCTCCTCCTTCACGATTTCTATGCTCCT